TGGAGGAATCACCAGTGTTTTCCCCTGCTTGGTTAGTTCTTTTTTTTTTTTGCTACTGGAGCCTCTGGTGGGAGAGGAAAGCTCCTCCTCTTGCTCCAACCTGCTGGTTCCTCTGCCTGCCGCAGCCAAGATGGAGGTGGCAGGTCCCTCAGCCCCATTCAGCTGAGCTGGTTGGGGTGTCACTTTTTCTGGTATCAATAGTTTGAGAATTAAAGTCTATAGAAAAGCTTTTGCACGACTAAAGGAAAAGAAGCAGAAACAAAGATAGCAGAGGGCCAGAAAAGCTGTGTAGCAGGTCTACCTGAGACCAGCTCAATAACTTTGGGCAGAGCTGTGTGTTGGAAAGCCTGCCAAGTGAAACAGTGGAACACTTCTACTTCCTTTATTCATTTTATGAGACAGAATTCATGTAGTATGCAATCTGTCATTTTAAAGTGTACAATTCTGTGATTTTTTACTGTATTGTGGTGTCTACTCAAGGCTCATTAGCATCTAATGTCAAAATAATTTTATCATCCTAAAATTAAACCCCCATATAGTTGCTTCCCACTGCTTCTGCTTCCCTTTCCACCTAAGTCTTAACAACCATTGATCTATTTTTTGTCTTATGAATTTTTTTTCTAGGTATATTATATAAGTAAAGCATGCAGCTGGGCATGGTGGCTCACCCATATCTGTAATCCTAACACTCTAGGAGGCCAAGGCAGGTGGACTGCATAAGCTCAGGAGTTCAAGACCAGCCTAAGCAAGAGCAAGACCCTGTCTCTAAGAATAACCAGGCATTGAGGCACCTGAGTTCCTTCAGAAAATAGATGATGTTTAATTACAGCAGAGAGAAAGAAAATTGTTTAACTTTGGAAAACAATGCTTTAGAGCTTGTAAGTTATGTGAGCACATGTTCATTTGATGAGAAGCACTGTGAAGTTACTGGATATATGAAAATTCTATCTCAGAAAAATTGTACAAGGGAAAAAGTAAAGCAGAATGGTGACTGTGAAATATCCTATGCACCTTTCCACTTTCAGAAAGATGTACTTAATCTTCTCCTGAAGAATTCACTGATAGTCAGTCTGGAATTACAGTTTACAATGTGCTTCTCTTCAATTTCAGAAACCTTGCTCTCACTGAATTTTATGTTCTTCTTAGTTTTATTACATATTTCTCCAGGGAACTACATACCATAGAACTACATACTACTACCTCCATAGCTGACCACCACTCTATGATTAGAATTCAGAATAAGGCAATGGTCATGAAGGCAATGACCATAAAGATGCAGTCCTGTTTCTTACATTTCAAGTGTATTGTCTGTGTCTAAATGTGGTCTGTTTAGACTTTTAAAACTTAACTTAATATAATCTTATGTCCACCATTTATATATGCAATGTTAATTCAAGCATCCCCCATGATAAAATATGCTGACATCAATATATTTTGAATAATTTATTCATAAACAGAAAATAATTATAAAGTAGAAATTATATACATTATATAATGATATTAAAAAAAACTACTAAAGGGTAGAGTGCCAAAAAATTAATATTTAACTTTGGGTCATAGTATTATAGGTATTTTTCCCCTCTTTCAGCATTAATTAATTTTATATAATGGGAAAGTAAAAGTCAACACATGTACGTATTTTAAATTAAGCTCTATATTAAAAATATTTAAGAGTAGGAAACTTCTGGCAAAGTGCAATGGCTCAAGGCTGTAATCCCAGCACTTTGGGAGGCTGAGGTGAGTGGATCACTTGAGCTCACAGGTTCCAGGCCAGCCTGAGCTAGAGTGAGACCCCACCTCTAAAAATAGCAGAGTGTTGTGGCCGGCGCCTGTAACCCCAGCTACCTGAGAGGCAAGAGAATCGCTTGAGCCAAAGAGTCAGAGATGGCTGTGCGCTAAGATGCCATGGCACTCTGCCCGTAGGGACAAAGTGAGACTCTGTCCCCCCTAAAAGAAGTAAGAATCTTCTGAGGATCAAAGAATTACTAACATGACATGTATCCAAATCTATTAAGAGTAGAGTATAAATGGCTTAACACAAGAATTAAGTGAGGTGAAGGCTATGTTAACCACTTTGATGTAGCAATACAAATTGTATATAAAATGAGCACATTATATCCCATAAATGCATTAATGTACACAGTTATGATTTTTTCTTTTTTTGCAGTTATTTTTGTCCAGGGCCAGGTTTGAATCAACTCTGGTAAATGGGGCTGGCACCCTACTCCTTTGAACCACAGGTGCCACCCCACAATTATGATTTAATAAAAAAAGATAATAAAACAAAGAATTACTAAAGAAACAAGTTTGTCTCTGTCTAGAGAGGACTATCCTGCTCATCATTTGTGTTTCTAAATAGGAAACAAATCCCATCATAGCTGATTTTCTCCCCCTTTCCTTAGCAAGTCTTACTCCTTACAAGACTTATTTTGCTCTAAGCCCTGTCCTTCCTGCCACTGCCATACATACTCCTCCTTTCGATCATTGGCATGCCTTCTGGAAGTCCTTTTAATCTCCACAGTAAAGTCAAGAGTAAATATATATGCAATATTGGTTCCATTTTCAATTTTCAACTTCTTTCAGGGCAGAAATGGAGTCTCGATCCTCCATTTTATTGTCCCTCTTCTCTGCAGCACATGGGAGAACAAGGCACTACCTTACTGTTTGATCAAAAGAAGATTTTTCAGCACTGCCATCTCCTGGCCACACAGGATATGCAAGATCCCCTGGGAATTGAGCAAGAAAGGGCATCTCTGCCTCTGGCCCAACTCCCATCTTAGACCTTGGGAGTAAACCAGGTCTCTCAGGATTTGATATCAGCGAATAAAAACTTGGTCATCAGCAAAAATTTGTACAAAATTCAAATCTCCCACATCTGGGATCATCAGAGAACAACCTGCTGCCTGTGCCAGTCACTTTCCACTACTGCTTCTGGGTACAAAGTAAGTTGTAGTTAAAATGAGTACATGTCAGGTCCTGCCTTGCTTAGCTTACTTTTTTATTTTCTCTTTTCTTTGGGGGGGGGTAGTGTTTCCTCTTGCTAAGAATGGAGTCTTCAGTCCCTATTCTTCCTACAGTACAAAGTCGAATGAAAGGCAAATGGTATATCGTGAAATACAAACACAAGTACAGCCAATAAATATAGGCCAGAAAAACTTCAAATCATGAAAATGAAGCCTATAAATATATTCATCTTAGAGTCTCACTTTGAAGTTCTATAAACTACAATTCAATAACAATATTGATATTCTGGAGAATCTTCTTTGGAAGGAAACAATGTTAAGGGTAGTTGGCATCATGTCATTAGAGAAGTAATTTAATCTAGCTCATGTTTTACATGAAAGAAACAACAATGGATGTGTAAGTTAGTTCACACTTTCCCTTTCGAGATTAAAGTCTAAGCCTGTTTAGGTGAAGTAACAATAAAATTAACAGGAAATAAGCAAACAATTTTAATAACATACATAAGCATATGGAATCTCAAGAGAGTGATTAACCAATATTGAATGAGTTACAGATCTTTATGAATCTTTCTTAATAGGAGGGAGGAGATATTGAATAGGACGTGAGAACAAACAACAGTTTGAGGTTCACCTGGGCTCTGGGTGTGGTGTTCAATTCTCATTTTTCCTTATGTAATATGAGTTTTAATTTTCTCTGGTTAGCTAAATTTCAGTTAAAGGATTGAAATCAACTGTGTTCCTCTTTGTGGATCCAGTTTCTAGGCAGATAAGAAAACTTCACAGAATAGCCTAACCCCATATTTAGTGAAAGGCAGAGGGATTTCAAGACAGGAAAGGGTAAGGAGAAATCAGAGAGACCTTGAGGTTACTACTTTAGTTCGACTAACACCTCTGTAGGGATATTTTTCTGAGTTCCAACAGTAGAATAATAAGCCAGAATTCTCCAGATTTAGCATTGGTGATTATTATGGTTGTTTGGGGGCCATGGAAGAACCCAGAATATTTTGATGTGATGATTTGAATTATGAACAAATATTTACTAATGCTGAGGATGATAACACTTAACAAAACTTATAGATCATCTTGATTTAGACAACTAAACACTTTGGTAACCCCTCTTCTTAATAAAAACAAAACAAAACAAAAAATCCTCTCACTTTAAAAAATCATGGGTGCATGCTGTTGTCAGTCCTACATTAAACTGTAGTTCACTGATGGCATATAGTTAATGGAAAGCATGATGTATTGTGCCAAACCCTGACACTGAAATGAGAAAGAAGTTCATTTACTTCTTATCTCTGACCACTTCAAAAATCATTGATCTCCTGGTAATACCACCCAAAGTATCTTTTCTCCTGTATTGGGTATTCTTACATTCTTTTAATTTTATTAAATAATAATTTTAACGTCCTTACCCTTCAATGTGTGGTTAAAAATATGTGGTGAGAGGCTTTGACTACTTTTCTGAACTGAAGAATTTATGCCTAAGACTTGTCTCCTGAGTCAGAATTCCAGTGAGAATGCACCAAAATTATGTATCTGCCCTTGTCTACTGGGTAGTCTGGATCTTGCACTGATATCATATTTGAAAACTTTGGAATAAAGGTAAATTTTGGTGTCTTTCTTTCTGAACTATCACTCCGAATGTGTTTGTGCATGTGTGTCTATGTGTCTGATTTTCTGCCTTCCATGAACAGATTGGAAGATGTAAAAGAAGCCGACGTGGAGGAGAAAGGAGACGTGGATCCATGAAGCAGGTGGACCCTATGGCCCTATCACAGGAATGATGTCCAAACACTCAGTACTCACTGTGGATATCACTGCTTATGGGTGGATGGCTTTGCTAAAGTGCATACTGATAAATCTTTCTGTTGTTCTCTCTATTGGCATTTCTCACTCATTTAAAATGGTGATAAATAAGTTGATGACATCAATACTCATAATTCTGTTGAGGACTGGATAAACATAGCATATATAACAGTAGAGAGAGTACAGTTTGGCAAACTGTTCCCTTTCTAAGAAGGTCTAAGGACTGCCATGCCTATTCCAAATGACACGGTGTTCATGCCCTCTGTGCTGACATTCACTGGGATCCCTGGTCTGGAACTTGTACAGCATTGGATTGGGATTCCATTCTGTGCTATGTACATGATTGCTTTGATTGGAAATTCTCTACTTTTGATCATTATCAAATATGAGTCCAGCCTCCATGAGCCCATGTATATCCTCCTAGCCATGTTAGGAGCCACAGACATTGCACTTAGCACCAGCATTGTGCCCAAGATGCTTGGCATTTTTTGGTTCCACTTGCCAGAGATCTATTTTGATGTTTGCCTCTTTCAGATGTGGCTCATCCACACATTTCAAGGTATTGAATCAGGAGTCCTGCTGGCCATGGCTCTGGACCGCTATGTAGCTATCTGTTATCCTCTGAGGCATGCTACAATATTCACACAACAAGTAGTCACTCACATTGGAGTTGGAGTGACTTTGCGGCCTGCAGTTGTGCTAATCCCCTGCCTATTGCTCATAAAGTGCCGTCTGAGACTTTACCGAACCACCTTAATATGCCACACTTACTGTGAGCACATGGCTCTGGTGAAGCTTGCCACTGGAGATGTTTACATCAACAAGTTCTATGGTCTTCTTGCAGCTTTTATGGTTGGTGGACTTGACTTCATTTTCATCACCCTCTCCTACGTACAGATATTTATTACTGTTTTCCACCTGCCCCAGAAAGAGGCACGGCTTAAAGCATTTAATACATGTATTCCTCATATATGTGTCTTCTTCCAATTCTATCTTCTTGCTTTTTTCTCCTTTTTTACCCACAGATCTGGATCTTATATCCCATCATACATACACATCACCTTGTCCAACCTTTACCTACTAGTCCCACCATTCCTCAACCCCTTCATCTATGGGGTAAAGACCCAGCACATTCGTGATAAGGTAGTGAAACTGTTCTGTTCCAAAGACCAGACTTGACATTTGATGGATAAATTTCTTTCTATAATTGTAATGGTTTTTCTATCATACTTACATGATTTAGAAACTCAGTTAATGCTTTTGGGTATCATCATGACTGATGAATAAATTAAGAAATACAAACATACATACCCACAAGTAAATATATAGTCATAGCTGCTCAAGCATTTTGCCAGTATATTAATAGAAGTAAATTTATAGTATAAAATGATTATCTTATTAATTTTGATAGATATTGTCATTTATTTTAAACAATTTCACTAGCTCAAACTTCCATAACAAAATTTAAGGACTCATTTCCACATGTTACATTATCAAACTTAAAAAAATTAAAAATTATGAGTCAATAGTGTCATCACTAAACATCTCAACGGTTTAATTTTAGTTACTGCTAATTCATATGGTATTTTGGCTTTTGGCAAAAAGTGAATTACATAATTACTTTATGCTAAAGAAGCTTTTATTTAACAATGTATTATTTTCCTATTTTATGGGAGTTATATCACTTGTTACTAGAATAGTTTGTGCTTAGACTTGTTTTTATCTTTGCCTCTTCTTTTCATTTTGCTTTCACCAGTTGAATTATTAAGGGTTCATAGAATATTTGATACAATAAAGAGCAAATAGTCTACCATTTTTGATATTTTTAATTGCAGATAATAATTCTGGGGCAAGGCAAAATTGTATGTTTATAGACAACTTGTTTTTCTGAAATTTCTCTTGAATAAAAATGAGAAAAATAAATAAAAAAGATAAATATGAATTAGTATCCCCTGGAATGCACCTTTATCCTCTTGTTCATATTTATATATGTATTTTCATGGAATACTAAAGTATTCATTTTAAATCATATTAGATCATTTTAGCAAAATTTCCTCCAATTAACCATTATTAAGAAAAACATATTTTTCCTCTTATAATTTTTATGCAATGCTGTTCTTCCACCATCATTATTCAATTTGATTTTATTATTCAAAAAAATGGCTGAATTGGAATATAAGAGGTATGTTTAAGGTTTTCATCAACATTTACCCCTTAAAATTTGGATAATTCATTTCTATGAGTCATTTCTTCTCTTGAAATAATAATGATTCCTGTCTGCTTGACTTCTACAAATACCCACCATTTGAATAGCGCAGCAGGATGTTACCAAAAGCAATAGTGAAGTAAATGCACTTTGTAACCAGCAAACTATGATTCAGGGTTTTTCTCCTATATAAACACATTCATAAACTAGCCATCTTTCATTTGCCATACTCAGGTTCCAGAATTATAAAACACATAAAATTTTCATCCAAACTCATTTGTTTGATAAACTTAGTAAAAAGTATTGATATACTTTTGATTCCACTTGTCAGAAATCTATTTTGATAGATCAGGCTTTTGCTTAATTACTTACTCTTCATAGTAAATTTTGAAGAATAATACATTTTTCATATTTTCCATTAAATATTAGAATCAGTTTCTGTTTACCTGGATTTTACATTAAATCTATAAAGTAAAATTCTAGGGAATTTTTTTCACTATATATGCTATCTTGTCATTTAATTTTACCAACCTGTGTGTCATCTTTTGATGATAAATGCAAAATCAGTAGAGATTTGTGCTGTAATATAAAGTAAGATTATATGCTTATAGGGCAAATGGATTTCATAAATATAGCAATTATCCAAAACAAAATTCGGAGACTTCTAAAAGTTTCTACCACAGTACAATATTTTATGTTAATTTTTTAAAAATAACCAATTAGACACAAACAGAGAAAGACAGCATTTAAATAACAGAACTAATTCTTTAAATTAACAGTTACTATGAAGATGCAGAAGAGAAATACTATATTATGGAACAAGTCTATGAAGAAATAAGTAAATATTCCCAAGGGTGATCGTAGATTTGCATATTATCACATTTGTTCACTCTCAATTCTAGCTTTAAGTCTATAAGTATTATTAAGTAAGTCAATTTGGATTTATTTTTTCCTAATTAAGCTGAAATGTTTATGTTGGAAAATGTCCTTTCAATTACTAGCTTGTTCATTTTTACTTTCAAATCTGCTTCTTATGTTAACATAATTGTATCAGCTGTTCTGTTTTCTGTTTGCATGTCCCCCCTTCCTAGTGTCTGCCTTTGCCTTGATTTTAAATTTTGTCTTTCTACTTTATTTACTAACTTGTAATCTCTAAATTTCTATTTTATTTTAATAATTCGATTTCTGTCCCTATTTTTGAAGCAGTATATATGGGTGGGTGTTTGTTACCTACACTGAAATTAAAAAAAAAAAATATGTAATGTCAGTGGTATTGTCACAGTTCACTGCAGTCTCAAACTCCTGGGCTCAAGTGATCCACCTCCAGGGGAGCTGGGATCACAGGCATGTGCCTCCTTTCCCTGAATATTCATTTATGTCTGTCACAACTTCATGTTTGTTAGATTCATCTATATTTTTGCCCTCGTTGGCTCTTTCTTCTTATTGTGTTAATAATATTTAATTATGAGAATATGTACTGCTACTTATTTGTTCTATGTTCTTTTTGTGAGAAGCTATGTATTATGAGTATTATTTTACATAGTATTGGGACATATGCTTGTAATTGGAGGACATGTATCAGATTAAAATTGCCAGATTATATTATTCATATGTTTACCTTTAATACATCTTGAAAAGTATTTTTTTTTTTTTTTTTTTTTTTTTTTGAGACAGAGCCTCAAGCTGTCCCCCTGGGCAGAGTGCCGTGGCATTACAGCTCACAGCAACCTCCAGCTCCTGGGCTCAAGCGAGTCTCCTGCCTCCGCCTCCCAAGGAGCTGGGACCACAGGCGCCCGCCACAACGCCCGGCTATTTTTTGGTTGCAGCCGTCATTCATTGTTGTTTGGCGGGTCCGGGCTGGGGATTCGAACCCGCCACCTTAGGTGTACGTGGCTGGCGCCTTAGCCGGTTGAGCTATAGGCGCCGAGCCTTGAAAAGTATTTTTTAAACTTATTTTAGAACATAGTTATTTTACTCATTTATTGCATGGCAGTACTTTTATCTTAATTTTTTCATTGATACATAACATTTATAGATATTTATGGGAGGATTGTGATGTTTTGATCTATGTACACAATGTTTAATGAGAAAATCAGGGCATTAAAGATATCCATCACATTGAATATTTATCATTTCTTTGTGTTGGGCATATTTCAGATCTTCTCTACTAATTATATTGAAATATGCTAAATATTCTCATTAACTATAGTCACTGTACTATGATGTAGAACACTAGAACTTTGGGTTGGGGTGGGGATAAAAAGATGTTGGTTATTTGGTACCAGCATGCAGTTAGAAGGATAAGTTCTAGTAGAGCAGGTTCTGAGTGTTCCACTTGCTCCATATTCTTACCAGTATTTTGCATCTCAATCTATCATTTTCTTCCATGTCTACAGTAATAGCACATTGGAAATTTAATTTAAACATTTTTTATCTTGCCAAGAATAAGAAGTAATGTGCATCCTTTCTCATATCTCCTTGGCCTAAACCAAATCACATGGTCACAAAGGGAAAGGAATAAATGGGGCATACATGGGATCAGTACAAAAGTTTTGAGACAGTGTTAAGGTCCATTATTTCACTTCTAAGAAACAGAGCCGACAGAGTCCTTGCTGATTCACCCAGGGGAGTTTCAAATTGTTGTGTGGCTTATTGGTGCTGCTAGGAGGGCTTTATTTGTTTTCATTTCCATGGATTTTACATTTATTGATATTTGTGTATCACAAATTTTTTTTAATGACCCACATATAGTCTCCAGATCACCAGATATGAAATGAACTTAAACTACAGGCTGGTGGAGGTGGAGAAGGGTCTATCATGGGAACAAAGACAGTTACAATCCTTGCTATTGACAGCTACAGTCTCTTCATAGTGCAATGCTCCAGCTACAAAATGTAAGACACACTCTATACTATAAAGTAACTTCAGTAATTTTGAAAAGATGCCATGCATCAAAATAACACGATTGTAAAATCCAACTTTGATGTACATTACCAGGACAATGCAAAATACCAAGGTGGGGACCTATGGTCACATAAAACAATATGGTCCCATTCATATTGACATTCAGAGTTTGGGGAAGATAATTAAGTATTTGAGATGGTCTTTGAATAATGGATTTTTTTTTAATGGGAATATTTTCTCTAAAGTAGATTTTTGAGGTAAGAATTCTGGCAGGGCTTCAAAGAATAACAAAGAAATATATTCTTTTTGATAAATAGCTATAAATTTTGGCACTTTTGGAAAGTGAAAGAGTATATATATATTAATGTAGAAATAAAAAAGTCAAAATGTTCAATGCTGGATAAGAGGTAGAAATACAGGATATAGCAAATCAACTTTGGAGTCAAACACACGTTTGACCATAGTAGTTTGGAATGCAGCACTCCCCCAACTGTTGTATGATGCTGGGAAAGTTATTAACCAAGGACATTTTTTTTCTTTTTTTTTCTTAATTGAATGGTAACTGTGTACATTGATGCACTTTGGGGGTACAGTGTGGTGTTTTCACACACAGTCCAAGACACTTCCATCAAATTGGTTAACATAGCCTTCATGTAACTTTCTTAGTTATTGTGTTAAAACATTCATATTCTACT